TGCCCTCCTTGGCCGGTGACGACTGATCCACCAAATGAGGCGGAAGTCCGCAAGGAACTCCAACTCTTGAAACGTTACAAATCACCAGGCCCAGACGACTTACCCCCGGCTCTTTTTAAAGATGGTGGTGACTTTCTGACTAAAGGACTGACGACGTTGTTTACAAAGATCTGGGAACTAGAGAGTGTACCAACGTCATGGAATGAGTCGATAGTTGTCCCTATCTTTAAAAAGGGTTCACGTTGTTCCTGTAACAACTATCGGGGGATAAGTCTACTTCCGATTGCGTCCAAGCTATTGGCTTCCGTCATACTTCGTAGGTTGTTCAGAACCCGAGAAGGATTGACTCGCGAGGAGCAGGCTGGGTTTCGTTCTGGTCGAGGATGTATTGATCATATCTTCACCCTCCGCCGAGTGTTAGAACACCGCCATACTTATCAAAGGCCAACAATCGTAGTGTTTCTTGATATCAAGGCTGCTTTCGATTCGTTGGACAGAACTGTTCTCTGGGATTGTCTATTGAAGAAGGGTGTGCCTGAGAAGTTTATTAACATCCTAAAAGCCTTATATACAAACACCTCAGGTAGAGTGAGGGCATACAACCACCTTTCTCCACTATTCCATTCAAGCAGTGGAGTTAGGCAGGGTTGCCCAATCTCACCATTCCTCTTCAACTTTGCCATCGATGACATTCTGGAAACAGCTCTGACGGATGTAAGTAATGGTGGTGTGGATCTGTTGCCTGGAGAAAGACTTCTCGACCTTGAGTATGCGGATGATATTGTCTTACTGTGCGAGAATGCCCAAGCCATGCAATCCGCACTTAATCAGTTGGCAATCAGTGTCCGTAGGTATGGTATGTGCTTTGCACCTTCGAAGTGCAAAGTACTTCTACAAGACTGGCAGGATTCTAATCCTGTACTCACTCTGGATGGTGAGCAGATTGAAGTAGTCGAGAAGTTCGTGTATCTAGGTAGCTGCATAAGTGCTGGTGGTGGCGTGAGTGATGAGATCAATGCACGTATAGTGAAAGCCAGAGCGGCTTATGCCAATCTGGGCCATCTTTGGCGCCTTCGTGATGTTAGTCTGGCTGTAAAAGGTCGGATCTACAACGCGACGGTGAGAGCAGTTTTGCTCTATGCTTGTGAAACCTGGCCTCTCCGAGTTGAGGATGTTCGACGACTCTCTGTGTTCGATCATCGTTGCCTCCGAAGGATTGCTGGCATCCAGTGGCAACACCATGTCAGTAATGCAGAGGTTCGGCATCGAGTGTTCGGTCACAGAGACGATAATGAAATTGGTGTCACCATCTTGAAACACCGACTTCGGTGGCTTGGACATGTTCTACGAATGTCGTCCCAGAGAATTCCTCGTCGTGCATTATTTGCCGACTCTGGGACTGGTTGGAAAAAAGCGGAGAGGTGGTCAGTATATGACATGGTGTCGTGGTATGAAAGAAAGCTGCAAAGGGCTAGCTTATGTTGGTCCTTCACGACTCCCTGGTTGGGGTCCGAGAGATGGTGTAACGCAGTGGCTAGAGACGTTATCAGATATGGCTCAGAATAGAAGCCAGTGGCGATCCTGCTGTAACCTTCTTTTACTTTCTTCATAAAAAGGTGGTCGTATTCTTCCTTAACTGAAAGATCTGTTCTGATTGTACCTTTCCGTTTCCCCCACCATTGTTCTCTCTCTCTCTCTTCTTTTTTTTTATAATTCCCCACGTTCATTACTTTTTTTTTTTTCTTCTCTTTTCTCCTTCTCTTCTAATTATCACTGTTTTGTGTGGCGCATATATATTTGGTGCCCCCCTGTACCAATATTTATGTGTTCAAATAAATAAAATAAATAAAAATCCCTGGAGCTGTTGAATCATTCATCTATCTAGTTAACTTAACCTAAAGGTTTTTCTTATTGTACTAGCTTGCTTTCTTGAGGTATCTGGATACAGCGACGCTTGTACCATATTCACTGTTGTATAACAGGATGATTTAAAAAATGCCACCCCAACTTACCCGCCCCCTATGAAAGTTCCACCTGACTAATATTTACAGTAAATTTCCGAAATTAGGGAAAACATCAATAAGAGCTGAAAAGAACAATACTAAGTAGCAATTACATGTGAAAATGGCAAGACAGTTTAACTAGCTCATCTCATCAAGTTAAAAAAACGCAAAATCTCACAGCCTATTTAAAAAAAATGATATTACGTAGTGATGTACAATGCGCTTATTTGTCCTCTCTAATATGCAGCTGCTTCAAATATCTCAGATGCAATTTGTTCGTCATATCGATTTCCACTATACCTCCCTTTACAAACTGACACAACTATAACCAGAACGTCATTACTAAAGTTCTTGTGATGTTTAGTGTCTAAATTTCGAATATTGACGCACAACGTAGTTTATATTTATACTAACGTTATTCAACTAACAGATGACACGACAATTACGTTAAACAGAAATCTCGCGGGGGGCGGGATCGTGGATGCGCACTGCTGAGGAGCCCCATACTAGGACGAAACGGCCGTCCAGTGCTTTCAGGTTTTTCATGGTGGCCTAGCTTCAATTGACTCATGATTTCAACTATTGAAATTACTAAAATCTCCACAAAACCCCTTCTGATAAACAGAAATAAGTACTAGTTACTGAAAATATTTAATAAGCAAGTTAGAACTACAATATTACGTCCGTTTTCTAAGACAGGAAAACTTGTGGGTAAAACAGGTTATCTGTCATAAGAAAGCACTAGTTGGACAATTAGAAAATTACTATAAAACCCTTTATTATGTAGATTTTAAAGTTCCATTATGAGTGACCTCATGAATATAAAATAATAATTAGAAATCAAATATCACTTAATTTCAGACATGTTTTGACATCAACAAATGATGAGAAAAGAAAAACACTTTGATATATATGGATATATTACTTAAATTTATTCACAACATGTGAACCATATACAAAAACATGAAAAAATTAGCATGATAGATATAAGGGAATCTAGTTAGGAAAAACAATCGTTCTAATCCAACCACAAAGAATGCAAAATCATATTAAATTTATAATACGAGGAACGCGAAACATACATTTCTGTGACTGATAACCTCATGTAAAACAAATAGCGATGCTTGCCACATCACCGATTCTTTTCAGCGAATTTGTTTCTATTTCACGAAGATTTTCGTTAACACCAACTAACGCTTTAAGGGCCAAATGGCTGATTAAAAAGAAAAGGAACAGCTCAAAGATATGTACGCATAAAATAAACAGGTGGAAGAACTTAAACGTAGTTCGAGAAATATCACATTATATCTCATAGTTATGATAACAGAATAATTCATTATTCTTTACATTTCGAACTCGCTACATCACTACAATTGAAGCTTAATAGCATTAGCCTGTTAATTGAAAGGTAGATGATTAATAATCACTGGAAACAGAAGAAGAATATCGGCTGAAATGGAAAACGAAACCACTTTTCGAACATGGACAATTCCCATCAAAATATTATCCTCTTCACAATTATATTCGTTGTTCCAATGGTAAAGATATCATACTCATAAATGATTGCTTTTTCATGTTCACAAATAACAAGTTTGGTGAATCTAGCAAATGTACAGTAGATCTGTATTCACTGCAAGCACATACCACAAGTTATCATGTTCCCTGCTTTCTATGAAAATGGAATGGCTTGCTTCATTTGGTAAACAACATTCGATATTCACTAAAAACAAGAGAAGCTTAAGCAGTCAAGAAATAATGTCACCGACCAATCATTATATATATATATATATATGCATTGATTGTGTGCATGATTATACTAGTTCCATGTCAAAAAAACGACCATGAATATTCCATTAAAAAAATTTACACCAACCATAAGAAGAATAACAAGTCAAGAGACAAGAGTATTAACAACTGAATAAGATGGATAGTGACATACCAGAATATCAACAAAACAGTTTCATATAAAGATATCTTTTCGATTGTTTAGTTAAATTATGTTCAATCATGAACAAACGCACACAGACTAAGTATACTAGTTTGCGTTTACAACCATTGAATACACAAAATTTATAACAAGGGAATTTCCTTGTTGTTCTCGATTAAAACACAATCAGAAACTGATTAAGAAGTAATTAAACACAAAAATAATTATGACAAATTAATAATGAAATTATATCGATATTGAAAAACCACAGTTACATGAAAATAGATAAACATGCATACACAAAGGAGAAGAAAAAGAAACCAATATCGATGAAAGAGAACATCTAGAGTACATTCAACAATGTACATACGCATTTAAATTAGCATATATCATCCTATATGTGCATAGGTCAATTAATCTACCAAGGTTAATCATACATTCTATTCAACCAATATGTATAGATATAAAATAAACAGAAATTTAAAACAAATCCTCTTTAAATGCAAATTAAATCATTACAAAAAAATGAAATTAAGCTTTAAGAATATAGTTCATTTAAAGAAAAATAAACAATAAATTTTGTACGCAAAAATGAGGAAATACTATAAAAAGAGGAAAAGGAACGACAATGATGAAGTGAACAAAAATAATAACAATAGGCATAATTATCATTATCTAACAACTACAACAAACAAAATTTACACATGTAATTCAACACAATATGTATGGAATATGAACAATACAATAGTTTCTCATGACAATAAGAAAATTCTTTTTAGATGAATCTACAGACCTGTGTAAAAGTATTATTATTATTAACAAAATTGGTACCAATAATAGTCTAACTAACAGTAGTTATTATTTATGTGTGTAAATATGTAATAACAATTATAACCACGTGTTGTTATAATTGAATAGTTCATAGTGTCCTATTTTTCCGTGACATATAAACAGGGTGAATTTAATTACATGAAAGACAATCAAGGTGTGAAATAGATTTTTTTCTTATGATGAGATTACTTAAAAGATATGAATACTAATGAATTGTAAATATATATATATATATATATATATATATATATATATATATATAAAGGGTATTACGTCATACTGGTTCATATTGTAAACAATGTGCACTGAACTTCAACTGTAATGTTGGATATTGATATATTGAAAATTAGACATGTGGAAAATACAAGGATAGATTAATGGATTAATTACATAATTTAGTGGATTTGTCAAAATAATCAGACACAATAATAATGGTCAAACTGAATTCAGTGTGGGAAATTAAAATGATGTTAGCCGACCATTAACGCTAAATGATATTACGTTTTTTTCTAACAATGAGATGCAGGCGGATCACAATGTCTGTTATTGTTATAATTATGAATAGAAGTAGATTGCAATGTTGGTAAAGTTCGATCAACAGACGCAAGTATTTCTGAAGCCATTTTACGGATAAGTCTAGCACAAGCAAGTTGAGATTCATCAGGTCCTACAAATGCTGCAACACCTTCTGCACTTTGTCCTACAGGTTCAACATGTGTAACTGCTGACGACTGTCTTGAAGATTGCGTCTGTTGACTTTCTGACACGAAACAATCACCGGCAGCTGCTTCACATAAAGCAGGTACTTCTGAGAAAATATCAGGATCTGTTGAAGGAGAATATATACTTGGAGGTTGAGGACAAATAACATTATATGAATGAGTTAAATATTTCATCGGATCACTGTTTTTCACACAACAATTGATATTATTCTCGACATTATCATTGTCATGGAAATCAGTATTTATACCACGCGAATCTTGATCAGATAATTGTCGTTGTAAATTATGAGCGCATAAAACACCTTCATCAAAAGAAACAACTAATCTTAGAAATGATAACAGTGGTTGGCATTCACATAAGACCGGTACATAACGCGTTTCTAAAACAGAAAGGGGGACAAAAACAAAACTGCTAATATATTTGATGACGAAATATACGAAGAAAAATTCAAACGCAAAGAGAAAACTGTGGAACAGACATTTGATATTTGAATCTATCAAACACAAGCAAAAAACTAGTTGGAGAATGTAGTTATTAGTACCACAAAATTATCCAACCTTTGTTAACAATAAATCAGTAAAATCAACTGAACCTGAATCTAGTAAAGCATTCCATTTCGGTTATGAAGAAATGTATTATATGCATTCGAGTAGCGAAAACGATCCAGAAATACGATAAATCACGAAAACTTGTAACCAATCCTGTGGTATATATATAAAGTGAACGGTCTTGCAGTATACTCGAAAACAACGTAGAAACTGGTACAAATATTCATCAGTACAAGCTTCCACACATCAGCGTGGTGAGATGAAATTATTAAGGCAAATCCCAGAGTAATGGAAGTACTAACAGTATCATTCGCAATAGGAAAGATTAGATATGGGAAGTAGGATTCTACAATAAAGAAGTACAAGATAATTTGGGAACTCAGGATTTAAAAGAAGACAGAGAGAATGAATTTCATTCGTGTCACCCATCTCCAAACACTGATCTCATGGACCTCAATCAAGTAGTCAGCACCTACTAATACGGTTTAATCCAAAAATCATTGACGTCGTGAACTGATGCCACATTTACGTCATTTACCAATTACTGGTTTACCTACTCGCTTTTGAGCTAAATTATTTGTTTGTGTTATTGTTAGCACCTGGCTGTCCAAACTGAAAGTGTCCAGCGATTTCAAACATAAAACCTACCGACTGAGAGCTAATTATGCTATAAACATTAAGATATTGATTCATAAGAAATTAAAATGAATTCAGATAAATTTAATTTTACCAACACAAAAACATGAAAACATTAAAGGACAATAAAACAAACCTTTTCTGGTTAATATATGATGTATAGCCCAAACAGCCCACAAATGTATCTCTAAACGACTTTCTGGATGCAAAACTAACAGACCAAACGGTTCAAAAGAGCGATAAGCGACCATCTCAGAATGTGGCGGTTGCCAATTACAAACAGCTTGACCCTGGAATAAATAAATAAAAATTAAATTCCAGAAAAAAGTAATGTGTACACTACAAATAAGTATGATAATCTTTTATGGAGGAAAACAACTGCTTTAGAAAGAGGAAGGGAAAAGCCTTTGACATGCAAATTTAAAATAAAAAAAAGACTAAATGTCAGAGAATTAAAACGATTCAGTTAAAATCATACAGAGACATGTAAACTTTCAGTAACTAGGGGGGGGCTAAACCAAAACATGACACAAGTCCATAAAGTCATTAGCAATGGAACGGAATCCCGTTAACAATTTCAGCTTATCAGTGGCTGGAGACTTTGTGTGACATGATTCGAAATCCTTTTTAATGGACAAGGTGCATCCACTCGTTTTCTTCTTTCAGATTTTAAGCCTCTAATTTCTTCATGATTTTTCTTATTTTAGTAATTTATATTTTCTCAAATCGTATCTTTCGTGCCCAATCTTTTCCACCACTACTACTCTAGGATGTGCCTTAACAATTTCATTTCCGTGTGTTATTGGGGTATGAGAACTTGAACCGATGTACATATTTACCAGGCTCTACGTTGCGTTTGATTGAGTGAGGAATTTCTGCGGAAATAAATATAACTGGTTGAGGACAAAAAAATGTAACTAATAATAACTTGTTGACAGTATCTCAGTCTATATACTTAAAAGACCGTAGCAATAAACATTCTTTAAGATTGCTTTAATTACCCGTTATTGGTTGAATCAACAAATTAGATCGACCCATACACCAGTATCTATAAACTCAAACAAGTTACAATGACTTTTATTGCGTATATTATCATGAACTAACATAGATTTTATTTTCTGAATGAAGATGAAAACAGAACATTCTAAATTTCAGTAATAAATTCCAATTATACACGGAAACAATCAGAAAAACAACGAAAAAAACAACCAACCTTACCAATAATTTCACATAACTTTCACGACTTGACTGAATATTACGCAACCATATTTCATCTTTTAAACATGACAGATGCGCAATAATACCAGCAGCAAAATAACTTATCTGGATACAAGGATGTCTAAGCATTTTACTTCATTTAAAAAATATATATCATTTAAAAAACATTAATTAGTAGATGAAATAACAAAGGGAATTATAATCATAATTCCAAATCGAAAATGTGACATTTAATGGAAATGAACGACTTTTGCTTTTGAAACTGACTAACTAGAAATTCAACATCGTTAACTCGGTAATAATGAGAACAACATCATAGCGATGTCTGTGACAGTAACACATGATAATGTTTATTCGAAAAAAAGACAGGGTTTATAAGCTTCCTTCAAGTGATACATATTTTCTTATGGAAAGTCCTCGGAAATACATATTTATTTATTTAAACAGATAAACATTGGTACAAGGAGGCACCAAATATATATGCGCCACATAAATCATTCGATTTGTGTGAGGGCTGGGATACTGGTCGGGTGCCCAAACCGGAGGAGGCGGTTATATTAAGGGACCACACCCGGAGCTCTTGATCTAAAGGTCTAATCCACAAGGCAGTGAGCAACGTAAGGAGATGGAGTCCGTAGTAGCTCGTGACCAATGATTGGTTCATACGCCATTTGTTTTCTCAGAATCCTGGAGCCCATATGTACCAGTGGTTAGGAATCAATGTTTTCCAACTTCCCCAGGTAAACTCTCCGTGTCCACCAGCCCGGTTAAAGCGCCGGACATTCGCTTTTCGTCCTCTCAATTTCGTAAACAACACCCCCGCCACGAGAAGGCAGTGAGTAGTACTTTATTGGCAGTGGTTGTATGGACGTGGTCATGTGAGAGCATTTAAAGAGGGAGAGCAGACTCTCCCCACTCTCGGCCGTACCAGAGCATGACTTCACAATCAAATAATAACTTCGAATCTTTTGACAGATGAAGAGTTTCATATATCTTTTCTTTGACATGAATCAATAAGCTTTAACAAGTCAAATATAATTATAATTACTGCGATATGATAAACAATTCAAGAACATAATTTTTTTCAATTCAAGATAGCTTAATATAATGAGATATCGGGAAGAGAAGCACAAATAACAAGATATTCGTTGTGTTTTACCTATCACTTTTGATCATTTTTCTGTCTATTTAATAGGTGAGTGCACGATATTAAAGATCAATTTTTTACTAAGGATTTAGTTTTAAGTCCTAACATTTATTATATTTATATTTTTCGTCCACTTTTTCGGAATGATGTCCATTGGATATGCTCATATCAGACGGTTGTGTATAATTAAGTTGTTTGAAATGATGTCTTTAATTAAAATTACGCTTAAATATGTTCAATCTTGCATTGTAGTGTAATTTTTTTTATCAATTTTGACCAAATAATGAAAATGACCGAAAGTGCTGAATACGAAACATTTAGTGGACACTGAAAACATTGTACATAATCTCAGGCCAAAATAGGTGTTGTGAATACATAAGAGAGAAAATCATATGATTATAATAATGATCAACATATTTAAAGGACATGGTTCAGAATAAAACACAACGGAGATGAATATCACCTTTAATCTTACAAAATAACACAATAGGAAAACACAAAAGTATCGTCACCGATTTAGTGTGAAGCCATGTTTGACAGTGTCTCAAACTCCTGAAACAGCCGTGTGTTGATCGATATTAAGTTAACATAAAAATCCTTTATGCAACCTCAACTCATATATTGTCCCGTACGTTCGAGGGTGTAAGTCAACTCTCAATCTCAAAATATGGTGATAATAAGGGTGAAAACTCCAGTGAAATCATAATCACTTTGTTCTGTAGAGGTAATAGGTTGAAAGTGGATACCCAGGTTTATCGAAAGTGAGTGGAAACAGTAGATTTACCTACAGAAGTTGAGAAATTCCGATTTCAAACCAGTTGTGTATAAGTCTAATTTACTTACCAGCTTCCAGTGGAATTGGCGCAAAATGTGAACAAGCTATGAAATCAAGTATAGCCTTCAAAACGAAAAGCAATTCTATGATATACTTGACTATCTGCTTTTCACTTTCGATGATCTAATTATAATACAAATACAATTTAATTGAAGTAATATTGACGACACATTTTCTACACCATACATTCTAACTTAATTTGCCAGTTTTTAGATTGTAAATACAGAATTTGTGAGTCGATAATTATTTGCTGATTTCCCAGTAAAATATTCTGTTAATTTTTGTGAACACACCATAATGTAATATCTATTAAATAATAAGATTGTATACGATTTTCTCATTTATAAATTTGAATAACTCGAAGTATGAAATCAAATATTTATCATGGCTGTAACTCTTATAAAACAACTATTTATGATCACATCATGATTTTGTCCAGCTGTGTAAGTTGTAAAAAGACTAAAACCCAAAAAGAAAGTTCATTTCAAAAGTTGGTTTTCCAACTCATAAAATGACATTATTCCACACAAAATATTGATGAAAAACAAGCTAAAACTTACAAAAAGAAGTTCATTAGACTTTCTTTTAATAACGATTCACGTGTTTGCTCGACTTCTGCTACATTATTCTACAAGAAAAAATACAATACAAAATGCATGAGGACTTTTATAAGAGGTTACTAGTTGCTAACTGTAATCAAAATAGAAGTTTCAATGGTTAAGATCATGATTCACTTGAAGCTAGACCACCATGGAAAACCTGGAAGCACTGGACGGCCATTTCGTCCTATTATGGGACTCCTCAGCAGTGCGCATCCACGACCTCGCCCCCTGCGAGATTCGAACCCAGGACCTACTGGTTTCGCGCGCGAGCACTTGGTGGTCTAGCTTCAACTGACTCATGATCTTAACCATTGAAATTACTACAATCGCCACAAAACTCCTTCTGATAAAAATAGAAATTATTAATGTGTAAAAACATTAAAATCCTAAAAATTAACAAATACTTGAAAACAATCCAAAATAAAGATTGGTTAAGTACTGCATCTAAATTGGTCAGGATGCTAGAACCATGGACTTTAGCTCAATTTCATATTACACTTAATGAATAAATTTAAGTTTCTATTGTTTTATTACTATTAAGAAGAGCCCAGGTTACCTAGGTTTTTTTTAATACACATCAGTTCCTTTTTATAAAGGATAATCTCAATGACATTTTTTTAAAAACTCATATTTCCACAATGACCTTTGCTATTATCTGACTGGCTGTTATCTCTTAGCTTGTTCACTTTGTGTTCCAAGGTTATGACATGTATACTATATCAACAGTGTTTTCCCTTTGCAATGTTTACCTTCTTTTCGGAATATAAATCTATATTGAAAATCTCGTCTTCACCGTCTCATATGAACGTGTAGATTACTGTTGAGCAACAGACGTCCAATCTACTACAGTTCCACCTTGTTGATTTCCGTGATAGAATATTCCCAACCATTTTATAAATAAAACTCATTGTGAGACAACCGAAAACCCCAATACGTAATCCTTTTTATCTAAACTTAACAGTGACATTAAGAGTCGGATAAACAAATCACGCAACTTTTAAGTCTGATTACCAAAATATTTCAGATAAAAGATTAAAATATGTGTTCCTCAAAATGTGGTACAGATGGAGTAGTATAGTTTAGACAATGTAAGACTATAAATAAAATACATGCAACTTGATGAAACCTTTTTGTGACATCCAATCGCAGGTTATTTTGAAGATATATCACTTGGATTATAAAGAGTTTGTTTGAAAACACCAAGAACATGGAAGTAACACCGATGATAATGAAAATTTTCAATCTGTCAATAATATGAAATTATTTTAATGACTAATTGTATTTATCGAAATTTTCGGTTAGGGAAGTCCCTAGAGCAGCTACGCAGAAGTAAACTAGTCACGAAGTATAGTTTTCTTGAAGTACATAACTGAGGCAACTAAATAAACTGCTAACGTGTCTTTTTTTTTCATTAAACCTAACTGCAAAAATACTGTGCACAATGTAAATTAGTCAGCTTAAGTGATGTATTATTCGTTTCTTAGAGTGAAGTAGTCCCGAAAATCTTTACTCGAGCTTTTCTCTTTCCTGAAAAGTCAATCAACTCTCCAACCTAGTTTGATAGGATAGACACAAACATAATACTATAGAGTTCATGATCAATCTTAGGACTGAATAAACGTAAAAAAAGTCCTATTTAAGCTGATGGTTTTATTGGGATTTCTGAGATACAAGTAGTTTGATTTTCCTGACATAAAGCAACGAAGATATATTTTATGATTGTGGCGGATGCCTTAATGTGGTAGTTGGATTTACATTTTGTTAAGATATAATCCAGGTATATTGGTTAAGCCTTTCAATCCCAAACACGCCGATTGGAGAGCAGTAAAACTCAAATTACCAACTTAAGGTTTGATGGTGAAGTATTACTGACTGTACTAGGGTTTGATGGTCGTAAGGTGTTGTCTTCGAAAAATCAGCATTTACAGTGGTGCTGCCCTCCCAAAACCGAAGGAAAAGGTTAGAAATAATCAACCCTACAAATAGAACGTCTTGTCTCGACCTATGAATTTTATCGTCGGCCATAAGGCCTTTGAAGTATGGAAACAGGATATCCAGAAATACTCGTAAAAACATCATGTGGAAAGCCCCCAAATGCCCTGGTATGGCCGAGAGTGAGACGGGCACGCCCTCCCTCTCAAAATGCTCTCACACGGCCACGCGTATACAGCCTCTGCCAGGGAAGTCCTACTCACTGCCTTCTCGTGGCGAGGGTGTTGTTTACGAAAATGAGAGGACGAAAAGCGAATGTCCGGTGCTATGACCGGATCCCAAACCAATGGTGCACATGGGCTCCAGTATCCTGAAGGAACAAATGGCGTATGAACCAATCGTTGGTCACCGGCTACCATGGGACTACATCTCCTTACGATGCTCCACTGCCTTGTGGGTTAGACCTTTAGGTCAAAGGCCCGGGTGTGGCCCCCTAAGAAATCCACCTGCTTCGGTTTGGGCACCCGAGTAGTATTACAGCCCACACACAAATAAAATGAAAATTTGTGTGGTGCATATGTATTGGGTACCCTCTCGTACTACTATTTATGTGTTCAAATAAATAAATCATGTGGAAAGTCCAAAGTAGTTGTTTCTTGAGTTCTGTAGTCACGCTCCCAGATCCCCAAGACCAATACTGATCTAGTCTCCTTTCAAATACCTCAAGATGAATTATTATTTCAGGGTCCGGGCGACTGGAAACTGATAACCGCCAGCACACCTCCAGAAGAACTGGAAACTGATAGATAAATTTAAGAGTAAGATTTCCATTATATTACTATTCCAAAAAGTATCCAAACAAATTATTTAGATTAAAATGAAACAACTGCTTAGTAATCATTCGCTGAACAGTAAATATTTTTATACAAACCGACCAAATTACTTGAACTATATAAGTGTTGTCTAATTGAACTAGAACAGGGATTTATGAACAATTATCAATATTGACAGCATAATCAATAGAACTAAAACTTACAAGTAGACCCAGACACTTGGTATAGACATGATTTTTAGTCTCTTCACTTTGGTCAGCAAATCGCTGAGATGAACAAAACGATACAAAAACACGGATACGAATGAATTGTATGATGCAAAAGGTGAAACGTTTATAATGAAAAAATATAAATATTGTAGTAAATTATTCATAAATACAAAGTCCAACGTTAGTATTCATCAAAAAAGTTTAAAATTAACTGGTTTATGAACTGTTATCGATTACTATATTTGAAATCAAGAATTAAACGCATATTGTAGTGAACGAGAACACAAGTGGGGACAATCGAATGTATTTGAATAAAAAATTACAAAACATCTTAGTAAAATCTGAGAACGATACAGTAAATACTTCGTTTGCAAAATGTCAATCAATTGTCTCGGACTTGGTTGTTTCCCGACCGTTGTTGCTACCTTGACGTGGTGGTCGGGCTTGCCTATCGTGATGAATCAACCGAGATATACTGGCTGGAACAACCGTTTCTCAAGGTCCTACCATGCCAAACATGTCGGTTGAATAGCGGTAAGATTAAAAGCAACAAAACCAAGGTCCGAAGGCGAAGTCGTACTGCTGACTGTACAGAGGTGTGACAGCAGTAAGGTGTTTCCTTCAGACAACCAGCATGACAGCGATGCTGCCTTCCCACAAGGAGGGGTGGGTTGGGTTAGAAAAGGTCGACCCTAAAAATGCACACCTCGCCTTATCCCACGGATATCCGTCTTCGGCGGTAAGGTCTCAACAAGTACGGAGCTAACAAAAAAATTACTTATAAAAAGGTCGTGTGTGATCGACCTCAAGCAGCTTTCTCTTGGGCACTGGGGTCACGCTCTCAGGTCACTATGACCACCTCTAATCCAACCCCATTTTCAGACACCTCCAGAAGAACCCTTCCACGGTGTGGGCAACCTCTAACAGCACTCAAGACCACTGTATTCATAATCAACCTCCCTCTTCGATTCCTATTATTCCTCCTACATCGACTTTCAAATCTAAACTCCCTCTTTCGGCTTCCTCCTCATGTGTCACCACAGCCAACGATTCTAGTGAGCAAAACACTGTCCCAGGTATACTGAAACCTCGCTTCAAACTACACATTGGAGCCTTCAACGTACACACACTATGTCAAGTCGGTCAGCAGGCTTCCTTGGCTAAAACCTTAGAATCTCGTACGATTGATGTATACTGTGTCTCCGAAACACGCATGCAGGATCCTAGCGTGGTCATTCACTTGACCTCACCTCGGCAAAACGGAGAGCGGATGAGATACACCCTCTGTGTATCTGGCGACCCGATGGCTAGTTCTCGTGTACTGGCAGGTGTAGGCATAGCACTAAGCATGAGGGCGGAACTGGCGCTATTAGAGTGGATCCCCGTAAACAGTCGTCTATGCGCTATTCGGCTAAACGGCTCCGTAAGAACTCGGAAGGATAGGGACACACGTCGTTGCTTTATTTTCGTTTCTGCCTACGCTCCCACTGACTTCAGCTCGGATAAAGTGAAAGATGAATTTTACAGAAAACTCTCTGAATTTCTTAAGAAAGCTAAACGTTCAGACATAGTACTCGTAGGAGGTGACTTTAATGCCCAAGTAGGTAGCTTAAGCGAAACAGAAAGACATTTAAGTGGGTATTTTAGTATTCCGGCACAGCGAACAGATAATGGTGATCGTCTGCTGCAACTATACTCAGACAACCGATTATTTTTAGCAAACACAAATTTTAAGCATAAGGAAAGACATCGTCTAACATGGCGACCCCCTTCACCAAATCAACAATGAACCCGAATAGACCATATTGCCATCAGTCATCGTTGGAGAGGCCCGATAGAAGATTGTCGCTCATTATGGAGTACCTGTTTGGGCTCCAACCATGCCTTAATACGAGCACTTATCTGCTTGCGCCTCACTGGACGCAAAAAAGCCACATTAAAAAGACCCATTAGAACTGGACTAAGTAACGAGAAAACCAAAAGTAGGTTCCAAGAACAACTGAGGACACACTTAGGTAGTTCTGAAAACGAGGCTGACCAAGATGTTGCTCGGAAAGATATACAATCAGCTGTAGAAACAGCAGTGACATCTATTAGTGATTTAAACCAAAGGGTTACAAAAAATCAATGGATTTCTTCAAGGTCTATTGCACTGATGGATTCTCTTAAACTCATCCCATCAGGCTCTGAACACGGTAGTGAGCGAAAGCACATCAGATCTAGGTTAACCAAAAGTCTAAGAAATGATCATGAGCAGTGGTGGGCAACGAGAGCAAAAGAGATGGAAAAGGCGGCGACTATAAGGAACACAAGACAACTCTTCAGACTCATAAAAGAAACTGGAACTAAGAAGTCAGGTGTAAGTGAGACTATCTCGGAAAAAGACAACACTCTCATCTGCTCCCTGTCCAGACGTTTAAAACGATGGGCGGAACACTTTAAGGAGCAGTTCAGTTGGCCTTCAGCTACTCTACAACTACCCCCCATTCCCAGACAGTGTGAACGAAACGTTGAAGTAGGTCCTCCAACTCTAGCCGAAGTTCAGAAAGCTATAGCTAATCTAACACGAGGAAAAGCAGCTGGTCCAGATGGATTGGCTCCAGAGGTCTTTAAGTATGGTGGTCCAACTTCAGCGATTAGGTCGACTAATATTTTAGCTAAAATCTGGGAGTTGGACGTTATCCCATCTAACTGGTCACAATCACTTATCGTCCCAATATATAAGAAAGGGTCAAAATCATCCTGTGACAACCATAGAGGGATTAGTTTGACTAATATAGTATCTAAAATACTAGCCTCGATAATTATCGGACACCTAACTAAGACTCGTGAACTGCAAACACGACTAATTCAGGCTGGTTTCAAATCTGGTGGTGGATGCATCGACCACATATTCACCATTCGTCGGGTCCTAGAACACAAGCATACTTATCGGCGTCCGACAATGATGGTCTTCCTTGACTTAAAAGCAGCATTTGACTCTGTAGACCGAGAGGTTCTGTGGCAGTGTCTGTCATTGAAAGGTGTACCTCAGAAGTACATAAACCTTGTGAAGGCTCTTTACTCGAACACTACTAGTCGAGTGAGAGCTTGTGGCGAACTGTCATCCGCTTTTGCAACCTTAAGTGGTGTCCGGCGAGGCTGTCCACTTTCTCCATTTTTGCTTAACGTCATCATAAACCTACTGATAGAAATAACGCTCTTATCGACTGAATATGTTAGAACGTTTGGGATGCGTTTCTCTCCCTCCAAACGCAAGTTGTTGCTTCAGGACTGGTCTGCGTCAACACCTGAACTAAGGATAGGGAGTGAAGTAGTCGAACGCGTTGACAACTTCACTTATCTTGGAAGTCTGATCAGCCCTAATGGGTTGGTGTCTGACGAAATGTCTGTACGGATTCGAAAAGCTCGTTTGGCTTTTCCCAACTTACATCACCTATGGCGAAGGCGAGATATTCGTCTATCAATTAAGGGGCGAGTATACTGCGCGGTAGTTCGTTCCGTTCTACTATACGGCTGCGAAACATGACCTTTAAGAGTAGAAGATACTCGTAAGTTATTAGTATTTGACCACAGATGCCTTAGAAATATTGCTGGTATATGCAGGGATCACCGGGTAAGTAATAGTGAGGTTAGACACAGGGTATTAGGGAATGATGGTAAATCAGTTGATGAGGTTATGAATCTTGATCGACTGAGATGGTTGTGCCACGTGCTGCGTATGCCTGAGCACCGATTGCCACGACACGCAATGCTGACTAGTGTTGGGGATGGCTGGAAGAAAGTTAGGGGCGGCCAAACCAAAACGTGGCATCAGTGCTTGAAGTCAATAACTTCTAGTCTGAGCCATGTTGGTAGATGCAGACTACATGGTTGGGGTTTGTGTGACTATCGTAACCAATGGTTGGAGATTCTTGGTGACATGGCTTAGAATCGATCACAATGGCGTTTGTGTATACATTCTCTGTCTTTCCTTAAACTAAGAGATTAAAATCGCTTCATATCTTTCTTTCTACGAACTAATTCTTTCTTCCTGTACTATCTCCTTATATGCGATCTTTTTTCTATATATTACCACCACTGAATTAACTACTTCTATAAATCTGGTGTTCATCTTGTTGTGCTAATGCGGTATGGCAACTTGGACCGATGTGTGTATGTGCCTGGTCCTACGTTGCAGCTGACTGACTGACTGACTGACTTTGTTGTTACTTCGATCTTCTTAATGTTCTGCCTCCGGGCACTTCACTTTCGATTGATGATACATATAACTTATATGTGTTGAAATCAGTAGCATACATCAAAATATAACTTCAATTATCCCGAAACAGGGTTACCATAGGCTCAATATTATATATATATATATATATATATATATATATATATATATATATATATATATATATATTGTTGATGTTTAAACATACTTTTTGACGAACAGTGGCCACCAGTCTAAGTGACTCGACACTGCGGGCACCACCATCTAATCTCGCAATAGTGCCCGCAGTGTCGAGTCACTTAGACTGGTGGTCACATTGCATCATGGTCGATAGCATTAGATCTGCACTAATTATAAGGATTAGACACGCATGACATTGATCACCACCCAGTGATCAATCAATTGTCAATTCCATTTTATTTACTTTGGTTTGATCAGTTAAGCAATATCCCTAGGCCTTAGATAGAAAATACAGTTCAGAATCAAGTAAATGAGATGGAGTATCATCCACAAAATAAATTGTTCCAACTGCGAAAAACCCATCGGACAAAGCGGATGCTCTTTTCATCTTCGTCTACAAGAATATAATTTAGTGATCAAGCGCCATGACATATCCTCGTTGATATCAATGTATATGGACAACTGTGGACACACATTCTACTAGAAAAATGTTGAGATCTTGGATAGAGGTAATTCTAAATCACCAGAGAATTTTTAGAAGCTTGACACTTAGTTCAATCAGCAGTCAACAAACACGTTGAAATCGATCCAATTTATCGAATCAGAAAAATTATGGACAAATATAGGACCGAAAATCAAATCAATGGGAGATACAATCAAAATAAAGAAAATAATGACAGCTTAGAGGTTAACAATAACCAATCAAGATCGAGGTCACCAGGTAAAGCTGTGAGCCATATGTGGAGAAGTTCGAGCACTTCACTTCTTCCTGAAGTGTGCGCTAATGATGTTCAGAATAACGATGAAAGTTACATGATCAAACCACCTAGCTCCATCAAAATCAATCAAATGAACCAGTGTCTGGTTAACGAACACTGTGACATTCTAGAAAAACATAAGTCTTAGGTAGAGAGGGAAAGTGTTTGATTGAATGTCCAACTCTTGAACATTACATTGTCTATAGTGTGTTATGCAAGTGATTTTAAACAGAAATATAATGACGGTACATTCGATACTTAAACACTGACTGTCCTAAAGGAGAAATTTGAGAGAAAGTGAAAGGGGTGTAGTAAGAGAGAAAATGTAAAGTATGACAGATTTAAATGATTTAGTTGTAATCTAATCAATGCTAACAAGAAAGAAACCAAATAAAAAGTATAAAAACAATCAACATCAAGGTAGGATAAGGTCCGTAACCAGTTCTTGAAGTAACATCACACATTGAAAAGGTACGGATGTCACCCAAAAGCTTTCATAATAATTGCCTAATAATAATAGATACAGCACAACTACTACTACAATCATAATTCTCCACGAAAATATTTCGAGTAGCGGAATTAATTCCAAGAAGAAACTTTTATTCAAATAAGTTACATCAACAACCTCTGCGACTTCTTTAGTCGAATTAATTACTACTATTTGGTAAGATAAAATCATAACCCATAGGAAATAAAACTGATATGACGAGAAGACTAGGGTCGTCGACACTGTCTGGAATAACATTCCTTTCACTAGTCTTCTGTCTTCTCATTGTGACTTGGAAGGGTTCTAGCGTTTAACTGCTCAAGTTATACCCGTCATATCAGAATATAAGCTTTAGATATAACAATTGGCGACGGCGTGAAAAAACTCTGAACCTTCAATCAGCCTGTAATTGGACAAAACTCAGTGTAAATATCCCGAGAAATCAGCATACATGGTTCTCTCCAGTGTCCTAGAACGACATTGATTGTTAACTAGTCACACAGTATTTTTCATTACCGTGTTGATTCAAAAAATGGCTCTCTTCCGATCAATTACAGTTGCTACTTGAGCGACAACAGCGTTTCAAAAAGAGCCAGTTGAATGTTTTAGACAATTTACGTACACAACCGCTAAATCATCCATGTTTTGGAGATGTGACAGTTGATAAATTAATATCTAATTTGCATATAGAGCTTGAAAATGACTGCAGAACGTATGAATGTGTCGATGAAAGCCTCCGTGAATCTTTGATAAACGGTAATGTAAACGAAGTAGTAGCAGTCATTCATGATTTGCCCAGTGGTCCAGAAACGTCCATTTCAGAGACATGCTCTGTAGCGGGTTCAAATCCCAGTCCCCGAAATACAATGTACAAACACTGACTTATCCAGCTCACAGAAAGACGATGTCTTATTAAATGCTTATGAAATTATTGACGTACCCGCCCACGAAGAGACAGAAAATGAATCAAGCAGAATAATGAAAACAGTTGCATTAAATGGAGTTCATCATTCTACGACAAAAGTTTCTGATGAATGTACTTATCGGGGTTCTCTAGTTGTATTACCAGATATGAGTTATCTTAATGACTCACATACTTTTGATCGAATTTCTTATAAAAATGAGGAAAATTTGTCGGATGCATCAAACGATGATCAAAAACCTAACAAAATTTTGATAGGTGCTGATCATTCTAGTGATAGCTTATTTACCAATGAGATTTCCAAGAAATTTGAAGAAAATGTTTTGGAAGAATCAAACCTTAATGACCTTATATCAAGTGCCGTTGATCCTTACCATTTAGTCAGTTCTAGTGAACTCTATTCAATGCGAAAAATGTGTTTTAAATAGTCACACCAACTGTAATTTGGGAATATGAGAACCCAACATTATTTCGTGGGGGAGGATAGTCAGAAAATTTAAAGTCAGGATCTAAACTTTGAAACTTCGAAAAAAAAATGAAGGGAAGGTGATATGACGGGAAAAGTCAAAATTCGATTGATTTACTAACTATGAGTTTTGTTCAGCATTACTTCCGTTTTGATTCAATGCAATGATTACTCAATGTAGTACTTGTTTTCTTTTCTCGTATGATATTTTATTTCTGTATAATATACGATATTATTGTATTCAATTGACATGAACTATGCTCAGTATGTGATTTGTTATAACTCTAAGTACTTTTAATATATGTTATTTCATCCTAATTATTAATCAAAGTGTGTGTACAATCAATATATAAATGAATGTGCTTTCGACTGGGTCGTCATCGTATTTTGGGGTCAATAAATCTTCACTTATACAAGTCTTTATGTTCTTACTTTCGCGTCGTGGGAATTGCAGAGGTCCCCTCGTTTCGAGTATAAGTGATAAGCGTTTCCGACATAACAATCAGCGACGACCAGATATAACAAGTAGCATTCAACTGACAAGTTATAACAAAAATAAACATACGATATTAACTTACTTTAAGGACCTTTTCATATATGATCAGGCCACCCTGACGAACAAATCTTAAACAAGCTTCCGGACATTCATCAGTGAGATTCCATAAAGCAGATAAAGTGAATCTTAATGTAGTATCAAAGATTGGTGCTCCTTCAGTGCGTAGGCGTAACTGTGGCATATAACTTCGTAAGGCTGAACCAAGATCTGGGACATCTGACAATAAGAGGCATTTGTCAGCAACATAACTCAGAAAACATTCAATTCTTCTAGGGTCTTTTGCCAAGTCGGATAGACCAGATGTTGAAATCTAGAAACGTTTTCAGCATTATTAATAAATAGTTTTTAGATTTTTTGCATGAACTAGCTGTCATAGTAGCACCCACTTAACTAAACAAAAATTCAACAATCTTGGTTACTTAAACTGAAACTCTATAGTTTGGACACTTTATTATGAGTCATTAATACAAAAATCCACACTTCAACTATTGTGAAATAGCCAACAATATATTTCTCACATACTACAAATATATAATAGCTTAAATAAAGAAAATGGTTGTAGAACCAATACATCTACCATTGTGAATTTTACCCCTTTTTCAATAAAAACATTCTGCCAGATAGTTAACTATTTTCAGTCAGTATGTAAGCTGCAACGTAGGACCAGGCACATACACACATCGGTCCAAGTTGCCATACCGCATTAGCACAACAAGATGAACACCAGATTTATAGAAGTAGTTAATTCAGTGGTGGTAATATATAGAAAAAAGATCGCATATAAGGAGATAGTACAGGAAGAAAGAATTAGTTCGTAGAAAGAAAGATATGAAGCGATTTTAATCTCTTAGTTTAAGGAAAGACAGAGAATGTATACACAAACGCCATTGTGATCGATTCTAAGCCATGTCACCAAGAATCTCCAACCATTGGTTACGATAGTCACACAAACCCCAACCATGTAGTCTGCATCTACCAACATGGCTCAGACTAGAAGTTATTGACTTCAAGCACTGATGCCACGTTTTGGTTTGGCCGCCCCTAACTTTCTTCCAGCCATCCCCAACACTAGTCAGCATTGCGTGTCGTGGCAATCGGTGCTCAGGCATACGCAGCACGTGGCACAACCATCTCAGTCGATCAAGATTCATAACCTCATCAACTGATTTACCATCATTCCCTAATACCCTGTGTCTAACCTCACTATTACTTACCCGGTGATCCCTGCATATACCAGCAATATTTCTAAGGCATCTGTGGTCAAATACTAATAACTTACGAGTATCTTCTACTCTTAAAGGTCATGTTTCGCAGCCGTATAGTAGAACGGAACGAACTACCGCGCAGTATACTCGCCCCTTAATTGATAGACGAATATCTCGCCTTCGCCATAGGTGATGTAAGTTGGGAAAAGCCAAACGAGCTTTTCGAATCCGTACAGACATTTCGTCAGACACCAACCCATTAGGGCTGATCAGACTTCCAAGATAAGTGAAGTTGTCAACGCGTTCGACTACTTCACTCCCTATCCTTAGTTCAGGTGTTGACGCAGACCAGTCCTGAAGCAACAACTTGCGTTTGGAGGGAGAGAAACGCATCCCAAACGTTCTAACATATTCAGTCGATAAGAGCGTTATTTCTATCAGTAGGTTTATGATGACGTTAAGCAAAAATGGAGAAAGTGGACAGCCTCGCCGGACACCACTTAAGGTTGCAAAAGCGGATGACAGTTCGCCACAAGCTCTCACTCGACTAGTAGTGTTCGAGTAAAGAGCCTTCACAAGGTTTATGTACTTCTGAGGTACACCTTTCAATGACAGACACTGCCACAGAACCTCTCGGTCTACAGAGTCAAATGCTGCTTTTAAGTCAAGGAAGACCATCATTGTCGGACGCCGATAAGTATGCTTGTGTTCTAGGACCCGACGAATGGTGAATATGTGGTCGATGCATCCACCACCAGATTTGAAACCAGCCTGAATTAGTCGTGTTTGCAGTTCACGAGTCTTAGTTAGGTGTCCGATAATTATCGAGGCTAGTATTTTAGATACTATATTAGTCAAACTAATCCCTCTATGGTTGTCACAGGATGATTTTGACCCTTTCTTATATATTGGGACGATAAGTGATTGTGACCAGTTAGATGGGATAACGTCCAACTCCCAGATTTTAGCTAAAATATTAGTCGACCTAATCGCTGAAGTTGGACCACCATACTTAAAGACCTCTGGAGCCAATCCATCTGGACCAGCTGCTTTTCCTCGTGTTAGATTAGCTATAGCTTTCTGAACTTCGGCTAGAGTTGGAGGACCTACTTCAACGTTTCGTTCACACTGTCTGGGAATGGGGGGTAGTTGTAGAGTAGCTGAAGGCCAACTGAACTGCTCCTTAAAGTGTTCCGCCCATCGTTTTAAACGTCTGGACAGGGAGCAGATGAGAGTGTTGTCTTTTTCCGAGATAGTCTCACTTACACCTGACTTCTTAGTTCCAGTTTCTTTTATGAGTCTGAAGAGTTGTCTTGTGTTCCTTATAGTCGCCGCCTTTTCCATCTCTTTTGCTCTCGTTGCCCACCACTGCTCATGATCATTTCTTAGACTTTTGGTTAACCTAGATCTGATGTGCTTTCGCTCACTACCGTGTTCAGAGCCTGATGGGATGAGTTTAAGAGAATCCATCAGTGCAATAGACCTTGAAGAAATCCATTGATTTTTTGTAACCCTTTGGTTTAAATCACTAATAGATGTCACTGCTGTTTCTACAGCTGATTGTATATCTTTCCGAGCAACATCTTGGTCAGCCTCGTTTTCAGAACTACCTAAGTGTGTCCTCAGTTGTTCTTGGAACCTACTTTTGGTTTTCTCGTTACTTAGTCCAGTTCTAATGGGTCTTTTTAATGTGGCTTTTTTGCGTCCAGTGAGGCGCAAGCAGATAAGTGCTCGTATTAAGGCATGGTTGGAGCCCAAACAGGTACTCCATAATGAGCGACAATCTTCTATCGGGCCTCTCCAACGATGACTGATGGCAATATGGTCTATTCGGGTTCATTGTTGATTTGGTGAAGAGGGTCGCCATGTTAGACGATGTCTTTCCTTATGCTTAAAATTTGTGTTTGCTAAAAATAATCGGTTGTCTGAGTATAGTTGCAGCAGACGATCACCATTATCTGTTCGCTGTGCCGGAATACTAAAATACCCACTTAAATGTCTTTCTGTTTCGCTTAAGCTACCTACTTGGGCATTAAAGTCACCTCCTACGAGTACTATGTCTGAACGTTTAGCTTTCTTAAGAAATTCAGAGAGTTTTCTGTAAAATTCATCTTTCACTTTATCCGAGCTGAAGTCAGTGGGAGCGTAGGCAGAAACGAAATAAAGCAACGACGTGTGTCCCTATCCTTCCGAGTTCTTACGGAGCCGTTTAGCCGAATAGCGCATAGACGACTGTTTACGGGGATCCACTCTAATAGCGCCAGTTCCGCCCTCATGCTTAGTGCTATGCCTACACCTGCCAGTACACGAGAACTAGCCATCGGGTCGCCAGATACACAGAGGGTGTATCTCATCCGCTCTCCGTTTTGCCGAGGTGAGGTCAAGTGAATGACCACGCTAGGATCCTGCATGCGTGTTTCGGAGACACAGTATACATCAATCGTACGAGATTCTAAGGTTTTAGCCAAGGAAGCCTGCTGACCGACTTGACATAGTGTGTGTACGTTGAAGGCTCCAATGTGTAGTTTGAAGCGAGGTTTCAGTATACCTGGGACAGTGTTTTGCTCACTAGAATCGTTGGCTGTGGTGACACATGAGGAGGAAGCCGAAAGAGGGAGTTTAGATTTGAAAGTCGATGTAGGAGGAATAATAGGAATCGAAGAGGGAGGTTGATTATGAATACAGTGGTCTTGAGTGCTGTTAGAGGTTGCCCACACCGTGGAAGGGTTCTTCTGGAGGTGTCTGAAAATGGGGTTGGATTAGAGGTGGTCATAGTGACCTGAGAGCGTGACCCCAGTGCCCAAGAGAAAGCTGCTTGAGGTCGATCACACACGACCTTTTTATAAGTAATTTTTTTGTTAGCTCCGTACTTGTTGAGACCTTACCGCCGAAGACGGATATCCGTGGGATAAGGCGAGGTGTGCATTTTTAGGGTCGACCTTTTCTAACCCAACCCACCCCTCCTTGTGGGAAGGCAGCATCGCTGTCATGCTGGTTGTCTGAAGGAAACACCTTACTGCTGTCACACCTCTGTACAGTCAGCAGTACGACTTCGCCTTCGGACCTTGGTTTTGTTGCTTTTAATCTTACCGCTATTCAACCGACATGTTTGGCATGGTAGGACCTTGAGAAACGGTTGTTCCAGCCAGTATATCTCGGTTGATTCATCACGATAGGCAAGCCCGACCACCACGTCAAGGTAGCAACAACGGTCGGGAAACAACCAAGTCCGAGACAATTGATTGACATTTTGCAAACGAAGTATTTACTGTATCGTTCTCAGATTTTACTAAGATGTTTTGTAATTTTTTATTCAAATGCATTCGATTGTCCCCACTTGTGTTCTCGTTCACTACAATATGCGTTTAATTCTTGATTTCAAATATAGTAATCGATAACAGTTCATAAACCAGTTAATTTTAAACTTTTTTGATGAATACTAACGTTGGACTTTGTATTTATGAATAATTTACTACAATATTTATATTTTTTCATTATAAACGTTTCACCTTTTGCATCATACAATTCATTCGTATCCGTGTTTTTGTATCGTTTTGTTCATCTCAGCGATTTGCTGACCAAAGTGAAGAGACTAAAAATCATGTCTATACCAAGTGTCTGGGTCTACTTGTAAGTTTTAGTTCTAGTGATTATGCTGCGGGAACAAATGGCGTATGAACCAACTTTTGGTCACCGGCTTCCATGGGACTGCATCTCCTCAAGATGCTTCACTGCCTTGTGGACTAGACCTTTAGGTCGAAGTCTCATGGTGTGGCCCCCTAAGAAAACCACCTGCTTCGGTTTGGGCACCCGGGCAGTATCTCAGCCCACGCACTAAAATCATGATGAACTGTTTGCTTATGGAAAATATTCCTTTCTCTCTGATTAACATTGAAATCACTCGTACTTTTATTATTATTATTATTATTATTATTATTATTATTATTATTATTATTATTATTATTTTACCACGTCATTTATTCACCCTCTCTTATTCCTACTTTATGTATCCGTTTCGACTCAGACAGCAGCTCGCCTATGGTGAAAATTCAGCTTTATCTAAACGTTCTCGAGTCACTGCCTGGTTGGAAATTGTATGTTACCA